ATATTTGTATCATTTTGTACGTTATTAAAACGTTGTAAGATGACGATTAACAACGTTGTGGTTTGGTTGTGTTTCCCGGGTCGTAATTGGTGCATCAGTGAAGGCACCAGTTACAACCCGGTCTATAACTAGCTAACCAATCAACTAACTGATTGTTGGTAAGCAGCCAATCCGATACACTGTATATCTTGACCGGTAAACTGAACAACTTACTGAAAACTTTTATTTAAATTGCTGCCATGATTGTAGCTGAGTGCTTCTTGAGGTTATCTTGAGGTTATCTTGAGGTTATCTTGAGGTTATCTTGAGGTTATCTTGAGGTTATCTTGAGATGATTTCGGGGCTTTAGTGTCCCCGCGGCCCGGTCCTCGACCAGGCCTCCACCCCCAGGAAGCAGCCCGTGACAGCTGACTAACACCCAGGTACCTATTTTACTGCTAGGTAACAGGGGCATAGGGTGAAAGAAACTCTGCCCATTGTTTCTCGCCGGCGCCTGGGATCGAACCCGGGACCACAGGATCACAAGTCCAGCGTGCTGTCCGCTCGGCCGACCGGCACCCAACAATGCATGCCGGACGCTCCGTCATGCAAGGTTTACGAAGAGTTATGAAAAAACTCTCTATAAGGTTTAATATTTTCTTTCAATTGAATACTTCCTCAAGAATTTTATTTATACAGAAAGATGTGTCGACATCTCTATATTCTTCTGAAGGAAGTCTTAAGGAATTTCATCACATACGTTCGTCTCTGTGGGAGTGATATCCCTTATCTTCTTCTGCTTCTTGTTGCAAGCTGTCTCTTGTTGCAAGCAACCTGGGGCCAGATTCACGAAAGCACTTACGAACCTGTACATCTTTTCTCAATCTTTGGCGGCTTTGTTTACAATTATTAAACAGTTAATGAGCTCCGAAGCACCAGGAGGCTGTTTATAACAATAACAACAGTTGATTGGCAAGTTTTCATGCTTGTAAACTGTTTAGTAAATGTAATCAAAGCCGTCAAAAATTGAGGAAAGATGTACACGTTCGCAAGTGTTTGCGTAAGTGCTTTCGTGAATCTGGCCTCTGGTCTTTATCTCATGCTTGCCATTTGCAAAGTTAGACAAAGGCCCCGGCCACAGCAACAGACGAGGCAACAGTTAAAGTCATAGACTGTCAATAGTCTGGGTGTTAAGTGGAGTCGGGGCAGCTAACCCTCCCACCAGGAGGTGGAGTCGGGGCAGCTAACCCTCCCACCAGGAGGTGGAGTCGGGGCAGCTAACCCTCCCACCAGGAGGTGGAGTCGGGGCAGCTAACCCTCCACCAGGAGTGGAGTCGGGGCAGCTAACCCTCCACCAGGAGGTGGAGTCGGGGCAGCTAACCCTCCCACCAGGAGGTGGAGTCGGGGCAGCTAACCCTCCCACCAGGAGGTGGAGTCGGGGCAGCTAACCCTCCACCAGGAGGTGGAGTCGGGGCAGCTAACCCTCCCACCAGGAGGTGGAGTCGGGGCAGCTAACCTTCCCACCGGAAGGTGAAGTCGGGGCAGCTAACCCTCCCACCAGGAGGTAGAGTCGGGGCAGCTAACCCTCCCACCAGGAGGTGAAGTCGGGACAGCCTGATAGTAACATGTACATTAAGAACTAACATCACTTACATGCTTGGGGTACAATTTGATGAATTGAATCATCACGAATTTAGTTTTAATACTTTCACTCATAGTTCTACTAGAGTGACCATTGTCGAGTGAGTGAAGAACTGTGAGTGGGAAGTTTAGTGTTGAGTGGATCAGGCACTCGACCCAAGGAGTACAGAATATACACTCTCCCATCCTAACCGTCTCCAAATGACTGCTGGGTGGACAGCGCTTCGGATTCGTAGTCCTGAGGTTCCGGGTTCGATCCCCGGTGGAGGCGGAGACAAATGGGTAAACTGATTCTTTCACCCCTGATGCCCCCTGTTACCTAGCAGTAAATAGGTACCAGGGAGTTAGTCAGCTGCTACAGTCTGCTTCCTGGGGATGGGGGGTGTAAGAAGAAGAAGAACAGGTCGAGGACCGGACCGCGGGGACGCTAAGCCCCGAAATCGACTCAAGATAACCTATCCTCCTGCGAAGAACGTCGCTTTTCGCTCGTATGCGCTACATAAGGCAAGAAATTGTCGTATTCGAAAATGGAAGCGGCTGGCGAAAGTGATGTACTGTCCCGTTTTCTGTTTAGGGTCCTCTGGTAGGTTAGGATTAGGGCACTTTAAATTGACCGTTTTCTTGACGACGGGGACCTTTGGAGGACGGGCTGTTTACAGAGGTGCCGGGTCACACAGGTGACACTTCATAGTCGTATAAGTCACCCCACCGGCAGGAGTAAGTCTCCTGCAGGAGTAGTAGGTGAGCACGGGCTCACCATAGCCCGTGCTACTTGGAACAAAGATCTACGGGCTCACCATAGCCCGTGCTACTTGGAACAAAGATCTACGGGCTCACCATAGCCCGTGCTACTTGGAACAAAGATCTACGGGCTCACCATAGCCCGTGCTACTTGGAACAAAGATCTACGGGCTCACCATAGCCCGTGCTACTTGGAACAAAGATCTACGGGCTCACCATAGCCCGTGCTACTTGGAATTTTGTTCCAAGTAGCGAATCTTTAACAACAACATGCATGAGTAAGTGTCCTGCAGGAACTATATGGAAGCATGGAAGGGATGGAACGGTGACTAACAATGCCCACTCAAGACCACTCTCCCACACACTCCCACAGGGGCCTCGTAGCCTGGTGGATAGCGCGCAGGATTCGTAATTCTGTGGCGCGGGTTCGATTCCCGCACGAGGCAGAAACAAATGGGCAGTTTCTTTCACCCTAAATGCCCCTGTTACCTAGCAGTAAATAGGTACCTGGGAGTTAGTCAGCTATCACGGGCTGCTTCCTGGTGTGTGTGTGTGTGTGTGTGTGTGTGTGGTGTGGAAAAAAAAAAAAAAAAAAAAGTAGTAGTTAGTAAACAAGTTGATTGACAGTTGAGAGGCGGGCCGAAAGAGCAAAGCTCAACCCCCGTAAAAACACAACTAGTAAACACACAATGTTCCGTCGCATTCCTTCCTCCGTTCCTTGGGAAGTCTGTAGGAACGGAGCTGAAGCCATTGGGGGAGTCTGTCAGCCTTTCCCTCCGCCTCCATTCCATCCTCTACATTTTACCCCCCTCTTCCTCTCCCCTCCCAGGCGAGGTAGTGGGAGAGGTAAGCACAGGAGAGAGCATGCAGGCGCCATCCGCAGAAACGTTTGGGCAGGGGATTAGGGAACTTTTTTGGACGCCATACCCAAATTGGTCTTGTGTCAACGTCCCGTCACATGACGGTGTTAGCGTCAAGTCACGTCCAACATCTTGTATAAATACGTCCGCTTGGAAAATGTTTCCTTAGCCAAAATCTAAAAAGATTATCCCATAATTTGAATGTCGGGAGTTTGATAGCTTCTTGGTAGCTCCAGAATTTCTCCTCACTCTGACGCCCGTCGACCACACATCAAATTTCACTTACCCGTCCCGAACTGACTTTAACTAACTACAACTTTCCAACACAATTGACCTTAAGCGCCACCATTTCGATAATGAGCAGACCTTCGCCCTCCACCAATCAACTAATCGCTAGACCAGCTCGGAAAGTCTGCGTCCGAATTCTCGGAAACGGGTCTTTTGTGTTCGGATATTCGACTTCCCTGAAATGTTGGGAACATCTTTTGGGGGAGAAATGTTGATGGAATCTCTCCTTGGTTGCATTGGCTTATTGCAATATTCGGAGCATCTTCTCTCTTGAGCAACAACCCCAGGAACACACACACTTGCAAGACATAGATCTTGCTGGAACACGTGCAAGAAATACATCTTGCTGGGTGCAAGATTCCTTAAGTATCCTCACCAGATTATAGATCTTGCTGGAACACGAGCAAGAAATACATCTTGCTGGGTGCAAGATTCCTTAAGTATCCTCACCAGATTCTAGCTTTTCGGAAAATGACTTAGGAAGTATTAAGCGTGATTGTCATCACTAAACTCCTGTCCTATGGTCCCCTCATGTTCTGGACTATACAGTCTCATCTCACGGGCTCACCATAGCCCGTGCTACTTCGAACTTGTTCCGAGTAGCTGACTCTATAACAACAAGTCTCATCTTCCCCTCTTCCCAGCACTGTAGATATTGCTTCCCCTCATTGTAGAATGTCCCATATTGACTGACTTTCGCCCTAGGCTGAGGTATACTGAACTCTGTCAATACTCTATGAAGATTGGAATACTTGATGGTGTATTGTACCCAAGATTGACTATGTAATGCATCAGTTATACAATGTATGAGATGTAACGATAACCTGGGCTTGTAAAAGCATCTTAATCACCTTCAGTGGTTAAGTGCTTAATAACACACTTGTTTCTATAGCAGTTATCTTACCCCTGTCAATCTTACCTTCTGGAAGGATCCTTCAGCACTGGTAGGATTCCTCAGCACTGGTAGGATTCCTCAGCACTGGTAGGATTCCTCAGCACTGGTAGGATTCCTCAGCACTGGTAGGATTCCTCAGTACTGGTAGGATCCTTCACCACTGGTAGGATCCCACACCACTGGTAGGATCCCACACCACTGGTAGGCTCCAACACCAGTGGTAGGATCCTTCACTGGTTAGGATCCCACACCACTGGTAGGATCCTTCACTGGTTAGGATCCCACACCACTGGTAGGATCCTTCACTGGTTAGGATCCTTCACTGGTTAGGATCCTTCACTGGTTAGGATCCCACACCACTGGTAGGATCCCACACCACTGGTTAGGATCCTTCACCACTGGTAGGATCCCACACCACTGGTTGCTAATTACTCGCAGAAGGGTCGCGTCTCGTGACAAGCCGTGAAGATGAAAGAGCCATTGTGTTGTATAATTGTGTTGGGGCAGTTGTGTAGTTTTGCTCTCCTGGAGGCGAAGGCGGTGCTGGGGGTGAGTCTGGCGTCTAGGGTGATGTCATCTGACGTCCAGGGGTGATGTCATGCTCCACAAGTGATGTCATCGGGTCTGATGAGTTTGGTATTGGCTCTAAAGTGACGTGATTTGAAGCATTGTGTGATGTGCACTGTGTTCTGTACATACAGTGAGGGGTTTAGTGCATCCGGTGTAATGCTGTATATGAAGACATCTTTGGGTGATGTGTCGTGGGCTCTGTGGTGATGTGTCGTGGGCTCTGTGATGTGTCGTGGGCTCTGTGATGTGTCGTGGGCTCTGTGGTGTATCGTGGTCTGTGGTGATGTGTCTTGGTCTGTGTGATGTTTCGTGGTGATGTGTCGTAGTCTCTGTGATGTGTCGTGGGCTCTGTGGTGTATCGTGGTCTGTGGTGATGTGTCTTGGTCTGTGTGATGTTTCGTGGTCTCTGTGATGTGTCGTGGGCTCTGTGATGTGTCGTGGTCTGTGTGGTGATGTGTCGAGGTCTGTGTGGTGATGTGTCGTGGTCTGTGTGGTGATGTGTCGTGGTCTCTGTGGTGATGTGTCGTGGTCTGTGTGGTGATGTGTCGTGGTCTCTGTGGTGATGTGTCGTGGTCTGTGTGATGTGTCGTGGTCTGTGGTGATGTGTCGTGGTCTCTGTGGTGATGTGTCGTGGTCTCTGTGATGTGTCGTGGTCTCTGTGGTGATGTGTCGTGGTCTGTGTGGTGATGTGTCGTGGTCTCTGTGGTGATGTGTCGTGGTCTCTGTGGTGATGTGTCGTGGTCTCTCTGTGATGTGTCGTGGTCTCTGTGATGTGTCGTGGTCTGTGTGGTGATGTGTCGTGGTCTCTGTGGTGATGTGTCGTGGTCTGTGTGGTGATGTGTCGTGGTCTCTGTGATGTGTCGTGGTCTCTGTGATGTGTCGTGGTCTGTGTGATGTGTCGTGGTCTGTGTGATGATGTGGGACACGGGATAATGTGCCTTAGTTACTAGTATGAGATGTAAAGGATTAAAGGATGTGATGTGATGTGCCATGACCTCCAGGGCCTCTATGATGAGACGCATAAGGGGTGATGTGCTTCGGTTTCTGGGGGGGGGAAATATCAGGAAAAAGCGCCAGGCCATTGCGACTATATAGCACTGGGAAGGGGTCAGGATAAGGATTTGGGATGGGACGATGGAAGGGAATGGTGTCCAACCACTTGGATGCTCGGGGGATTGAACGCTGACCTGCATGAAGCGAGACCGTCGCTGTTACATAAGGGGTGATGTCTCTGGGGTGAGATGTCGCGGCGTGACACATTTTCTCTAGTTAAGATCATCTCATGTACGATAGGTGAACAGAGACATCAGTTGAAAGGAAACGTTCCCTAACCGTCTCTGGACTCACCGCTGGGAATCGAACCCCAGGACGTGTCAGTTTCCAGTTGGCTCCAGTTTTATATGTACGAGCAAAGTTACAGTTTGTCGACGTCTTCGTTAATTCAGATGCGTCTGGGATGCTCTCGAACGTAGGTTCGAATCCTCGTCACGGCCCTTGTGGATTTGCGCTGGATGATGTCACATGGGTCTTGTGAGAGCGTCCCTAGCCAGGGAGTCACCATCACATGACGTCACGTGGCACCATATAATAAGAATTATGCCATAGTGCCTTGTAAGCGACTCTGTGATTGGACGTCATCCACATGACGTCACCAGAAAGTTAGCGATTGGCTGTCAACTGTGTGATCTAAAGGGGTTTTGAGGGGTTCGGCAGAAAGGTTTTGGGCCATCTGCCAAGACTCCGCCATAATAATCATGTTCTTAAGACGTGATTGGACGCCACGAGTCAGCAGTTTGACCAATAGGAAGGGAGGCAGCTGATCACAAGACCCAGCCAGAATTACATAGAGAGACATTGTTAAGGGGAACTGTGTCTTTTTCTCATTCTCTGGGGGGGGGGGGAGGGGCTGGTGGAGATGGGCTTGGCATGGCTGGCTTACCTCAGTCAGATCTTGTCTTAACTCATCCCCATTCATCCCCCTCAGTCGCTGAGGGGAGATTAAACTGTCTTCCAGGGTGATGTCAGACTGAACTTTGTGTCCCCTTTCCATAGGTTAAGTAATAATTGTAAATAAGAAGCAATAAGATGCTTATTTTAACATACTAAGAAGGTTAGGTGAGGTCTGTGTTCACTATGAAGCTTTTCAAGGTAAACTAAAATATTTACAATCAATTAGTATGTCACATATGCACTTATTAAATAAGCCAATATTGACTATAAGCAAGTGCGAGAACGGGTTGCACCCCTATCATATATATATATATATATATATATATATATATATATATATATATATATATATATATATATATATGTCGTACCTAGTAGCCAGAATACACTTTTTGGCCTACTATGCAAGGCCCGATTTGCCTAATAAGCCAAGTTTTCCTGAATTAATATATTTTCTCTAATTTTTTTCTTATGAAATGATAAAGCTACCCATTTCATTATGTATGAGGTCAATTTTTTTTTTTTGAGTTAAAATTAACGTAGATATATGACCGAACCTAACCAACCCTACCTAACCTAAACTAACCTATCTTTATAGGTTAGGTTAGGTTAGGTAGCAGAAAAAGTTAGGTTAGGTTTGGTTAGGTAGGTTAGGTAGTCGAAAAATAATTAATTCATGAAAACTTGGCTTATTAGGCAAATCCGGCCTTGCATAGTAGGCTGAGAAGTGCGTTCTGGCTACTAGGTACGACATATATATATATATATATATATATATTATATATATATATATATATACTTCTTTTTATCCGTATTAATGCCTTTCTTTTGCTCTATTTTCTTTTATCTAGTGTCAAAAAAACATTATTACCTACTTAGGCTAATTCGTAACTTTGTGTATTAATTAACGTAGAAGAGCCGGTCGGCCGAGCGGACAGCACGCTGGACTTGTGATCCTGTGGTCCCGGGGTTGATCCCGGGCGCCGGCGAGAAACAATGGGCAGAGTTTCTTTCACCCTATGCCCCTGTTACCTAGCAGTAAAATAGGTACCTGGGAGTTAGTCAGCTGTCACGGGCTGCTTCCTGGGGGTGGAGGCCTGGTCGAGGACCGGGCCGCGGGGACACTAAAGCCCCGAAATCCTTTCAAGATAACCTCAAGATAGGCCTAGGTGCTTGTTCTGCAAATGATTGTATGTTAACTGCATTCCCTTCAATATACTCTTTGCTTTAGTCGTGTGAACAGAAGACTTAGTCCGCCTTTATATATAATTACCTGCAAATACTGGTTTACATCTGAGATTTCAACTAAGTAATTAGTGAAGCTGAATTGGCATTGATTTCAGGTGTGATACATGTTAATGAGCCTAAATTGTGGAATGGTCTGGGAGACGGTTTAATGCATTTTTGGGAGTACGTTGTACAGATGTGGTCTGCAGTCGAGTTTGGACTTGTATCTGATGCAGTCTTTAGTAGAGTTTGGACTTGTATCTGTTGCGGTCTGCAGTAGAGTTTAGACTTTTATCTGCTGCGGTCTGCAGTCTAGTTTGGACTTGTATCTGATGCGGTCTGCAGTCTAGTTTGGACTTGTATCTGATGCGGTCTGCAGTCTAGTTTGGACTTGTATCTGATGCAGTCTTTAGTAGAGTTTGGACTTGTATCTGTTGCGGTCTGCAGTAGAGTTTAGACTTTATCTGCTGCGGTCTGCAGTCTAGTTTGGACTTGTATCTGCTGCGGTCTGCAGTCTAGTTTGGACTTGTATCTGATGCGGTCTGCAGTCTAGTTTGGACTTGTATCTGATGCGGTCTGCAGTCTAGTTTGGACTTGTATCTGATGCGGTCTGCAGTCTAGTTTGGACTTGTATCTGATGCGGTCTGCAGTCTAGTTTGGACTTGTATCTGATGCGGTCTGCAGTCTAGTTTGGACTTGTATCTGATGCGGTCTGCAGTCTAGTTTGGACTTGTATCTGATGCGGTCTGCAGTCTAGTTTGGACTTGTATCTGATGCGGTCTGCAGTCTAGTTTGGACTTGTATCTGCTGCGGTCTGCAGTCTGGTTTGGACTTGTATCTGCTGCGGTCTGCAGTCTAGTTTGGACTTGTATCTGATGCGGTCTGCAGTCTAGTTTGGACTTGTATCTGCTGCGGTCTGCAGTCTAGTTTGGACTTGTATCTGCTGCGGTCTGCAGTCTAGTTTGGACTTGTATCTGATGCGGTCTGCAGTCTAGTTTGGACTTGTATCTGATGCGGCCTGCAGTAGAGTTTGGACTTGTATCTGCTGCGGCCTGCAGTAGAGTTTGGACTTGTATCTGATGCGGCCTGCAGTAGAGTTTGGACTTGTATCTGCTGCGGCCTGCAGTAGAGTTTGGACTTGTATCTGATGCGTTCTGCAGTCGATTTTGGACTTGGTTTTGATTCGGTTTATAGTTATATTTGGACGAATTTCTGATAGGACACACAAAAGTTAAATAGTCAATCTCCTTTTTTTTGGGGGGGGAGGGGGGGGAAGGGGGGGGGGGGGAGGGGGGGGAGGGGGGGGGGGGGGGGGGGGGGGGGGGGGGAAGGGGGGGGGGGGGGGGGGGGGTAAGCCTGTTTTGCTTAGGAATAAAAATTGGATCAATAAATACATGGAAAGTATTGGTAACATTTAGGCATATCTACTAAACGATCATTTTCATATAGACAAGCTACCTTGGTCACTAACATGGTACGGGGGTGATGTCCCAGTCGATCCTCCGAAAGTAAAAATACTTTCGGTAACGACGCGGTGAAAGTACCGATACTTTCCGGTGAACAACCTGAAAGTATAGATGTTTTCTTGTACTGAAAATGTGGACAAAATGGATTTTGTTTTTAATATTTTTTTTTTTTTGCTAATATACCCTAAGCAAATATACCTTTTTTGCTAATATACCCTAAGCAAATATAGTTTTTTTGCTAATATACCCTAAGCAAATATACCTTTTTTTGCTAATATACCCTAAGCAAATATACCTTTTTTTGCTAATATACCCTAAGCAAATATAGTTTTTTTGCGAATATACCCTAAGCAAATATAGTTTTTTTGCGAATATACCCTAAGCAAATATAGTTTTTTTGCTAATATACCCTAAGCAAATATAGTTTTTTTTTGCGAATATACCCTAAGCAAATATTTTTGCGAATATACCCTAAGCAAATATTTTTGCGAATATACCCTAAGCAAATATTTTTGCTAATATACCCTAAGCTAATATACCTATCCTAGGCCTAATACACGGTATATGAGTCCTAATATAGTTTATATGATGCTATACTACGCTTAGGAATATTTAATTTTGGCGTTTATTTTGACCTATTTTTCTGGACTATATTAAAAAAATAGTGGAAACAAATTGCTTTTTACGGCCCCCATTACTACACATTCCTACACATTCCTACACATTGCGACGATCGACGTACCATCATTTCAAACGACTGCGTTGGCCTATTACAGATGGTCGCTGTTTAGCGGTTAACTGTAAGATTTACAAAATATAAATTATGTTCAAGATAGGGTTAGATTAGATATAGTTAGGTTTGATAAGAAAAAATATAAGTGAGATAAAGCTACAAGAACGCCAAGAGAGAGAGAGAGAAAATTGATGGGGATTCCTCCATCTCCTACTGGAACAGTGCTCAACCACACACACACACACACACATATATATATTATATATATATATATTATATATATATATATATATATATATATATATATATATATATATATATAT